CAGGCAGGATTTCTTCCAAATAGGTTCCTTAAAGATAACGTAAGGCACACCATAAACATCATTGAATATCTGGAATGTAAGAACGAAATACCCGCGGTGCTGATTTTCATCGATGCCGAAAAGGCATTCGATAACGTTTCTTGGAAGTTCCTAATGAAAAGTATGGAGAAAGCAGGGCTAAAGGGCGAGTTTATGGATGGAATAAAAGCAATATATTCAAATCAATCTGCAAAATTGATTATAAATAACAACCTAACAAATGCATTTAAAATTGAAAAAGGAACAAGACAGGGATGCCCTCTATCCCAGCTTTTATTCATTATGGCATTAGAGATAATCACAAATAAAATAAGAGTAACACCAGAGATCCGAGGGATCAAAATAGGAACAAAAGAATTTAAACTAAAAGCGTACGCGGATGATTTAATGTTATCCTTGGAAAATCCGCAAAAAAGTGTTGTCAAGGTTTTGGAGATGTTAGAAGAATTCGGCAAGCTATCTGGTTTCAAATTAAATAAATTAAAGACAAAAATGTTAACCAAGAATATGAGAAAAGAGGAAACTGAAAAACTGGAAATGCAGTACGGAATTAAGGTGGCAAAAAAAATAAGATATCTGGGAATTAGTTTAACTACAAAAAACATAAATCTAATTCAGGATAACTATCTTACAACATGGAAGGAGATCAAGAAAGACCTAGATACGTGGAATAGAGTAAAGCTCTCATGGAGGGGAAGAATGGCGGCGATAAAAATGAACTTACTTCTAAGAATGTTATTCCTGTTTCAAAACAGCCCAGTGATTAGAGGACCTAAAATATTTACAGATTGGCAAAGAACCCTTTCGAAATTCATATGGCAGGGTAAAAGACCAAGAATCAGATTCAAACTCCTTACAGATTTGAAAGAAAGAGGGGGATTCTCGGTACCTAATTTGAAGCTATATTTCGAGGCTGCTAGTCTTTGCTGGATTAAAGATTGGATTACTTTAGAAAATACCGATTTGTTGGACCTAGAGGGGTTCGACAATAGGTTCGGCTGGCATGCCTATTTATGGCAAAATAAAGAAAAGGTACATAAAGGATTTTCAAATCACATTATAAGAGGGCCCCTATACGAAGTGTGGGAGAGGAATAAAAAACTCCTAGAATGGAAAACACCCTGGTGGTTATCACCAACTGACATTCTAATAACTAAAAAAGTAAATATGGAGGGAGAAAGGCTAACTTATGAAGACCTACTGATAAGATCAGAAAGTGGATGGAAGTTGAGAACTTATGAGGAGTTGAAAGATAAACTAATTGGTTGGCTACAATTCCATCAAATAAATGCAGTATGGATAGAAGATAAAAAAGTAGGGATGAATGAAAAGAAATCCAAGTTTCAAATAGAGATAATCGAAGGCAAATCTAAATTACTATCTAAAATGTACAATATATTATTAGAGTGGGATACCAAAGATGAAGAAATAAAGGAGGTAATGACAAGATGGGCAATGGATCTGGGATACAATATAGAGTATGACAAGTGGTCGAAATTATGGACTAGTGGAATGAAATTTACGGCATGTGTAACACTCAGGGAAAATTTAGAAAAGATGATGTATAGGTGGTACATTACACCAGCAAAACTAGGGAAAATGTATAAAACAAATAAGAGCTGCTGGAAGTGTAAAATTAAAGAGGGTAATTTTTTCCATATGTGGTGGACATGCAACGAAATGAAGAAATATTGGGAACATATTTACAATGAGTTAAAAAAAATATTTAAGTATACATTTCCCAAAAGACCAGAAGCATTCCTACTAGGAATAATTGGGGACGAAATCAAAAAAGAAGATAAGACACTATTTCAGTATGCTACAACTGCTGCCAGATTACTAATTGCCCAAAACTGGAAAAATCAGAATATCCCATCAATTAGAGACTGGCAAACAAAATTATTTGAATTTATTGAACTCGCAAAAATGACGCAAAAAATCAGAAACCAAAAAAATACAAAGTTTATTAATGATTGGAACAAATTTATGATATACATTGAAGGGAATTACAGAAACTTAAAAACTATAGCAGGTTTGATATACCAGTAAATCTTACGATGTGCAAATCATTAACAATTACTAGCTGCAGAAAGACAAATTATGTATATTAAGAAGCCTGAAAGCGGGAGGGATGGAAGTCAATAGGGTGTAGAAGAATGATGTAAGTTCTTAAAGCTATATAGAGACAAGTGTGAAGACATGGAACTGTAATGGAAACGGACAATATTTTTAAGTTTGTTTAGATATTAGTTACTCAATTTTTTCCTTCCTTTTTCCTTCTTTGTAACTGTGGATTTGTTTTTCTTTTTGGTTATTCACATGAAAACTAATAAAAAGAATTTGGGGAAAAAAGAAAGAAAAGCCACAGGTCCCAATACTGATCTTGAGGGGACTCCGCTTTCTGCTTCTCTCCATTCAGAGAACTGTCCCTTTACTTTCTTGGTGTTTCAGAAGGAGGGCTGCTTCCAACTGGGGAGGCACATTTCTTCTAGGGGCACATTTCCGGGGTCCCCACGGTGCCCCCCAACCTGGCTCCACTCGACCAGGGCAGCTGCATTTTGTTTCGCTGCAGGTGAGGCTGCCCCCTGCAATGTGGGGTCTTAAAGGAACTTCATGGGGGGAATCAGCGAGATGGAGCTTCTGGATCCTGTGCAGCCCCCCCCCCGCCTGCTCCCTTCAGGTTTCCTAAGCCCCTCCCTTTTTCATTTCAAGGATTGGGGGTCCTGCACAGCCCTCAGGGCACCTAAGCATCGGAGGGGAGCTATTTTGTTTCCTGAGGGCAGGAGTCACAATCCTGGCACACTGCAGGATGTCTGGGTTTTAGGTATGGGGCTGAGGCTCAGGTGGAAAAGAGCTGATAGGGGAAATATCCTGGGGTGTGGATTTTATTTTATTTTTAATATTTTTTATTGATTTTCCCAAAAAAATCTTGAGTGTTCACTGGAAGGACAGATCCTGAAGCTGAGGCTCCAAGACTTTGGCCACCTCATGAGAAGAGAAGACTCCCTGGAAAAGACCCTGATGTTGGGAAAGATGGAGGGCACAAGGAGAAGGGGACGACAGAGGACAAGATGGTTGGATAGTGTTCTCGAAGCTACCAGCATGAGTTTGACCAAACTGCGGGAGGCAGAGGGAGACAGGAGTTCCTGGCGTGCTCTGGTCCAGGGGTCACGAAGAGTCGGACACGACTAAACAACAACAACATCATCATGTACTTTAAAAATCAGCACCTAGACCGTTTCAGTAAATGCCTGGGGGCCTAAAACAGATGTGAATGGGCAGCGCAAATCAGAGCGCATTGTGTGTGTGCAACTTGCAAGAGGGCAGAGGGACAGAATCACTGCTTCACACCCCTCTCTGCTCTCCTCCTCCTCTCTTCGACTTCCCACATTTATGTGGAAATGCTACAGGTCCACCTCATAGGGATGTTGTAAAGACAGCAGAGTTGGTTTTTATGAAGCGCTTTGTACTCTCCGAGTGTCCTCTAGTTTATCTCCCCATGTTGAGCCCCCACAGCCTTTGCTCAGAGGGGCCCTGCCCACCCATCCCTGGGCCACCTTCCCGTTTCATTCAAGGTGCACGGCTAGGAGATGGATCTTCCGCCAAACTCCCCTTTATTCCTGTTGCCACCACAGAGGACTCTTCAACACTTCACCCCAAACATAACAAAGACGGAAGTGTGCATCGATTCATTAAACTGATTTATTTAAAAAATAGACATAAACATGTGGTTTCAAATGTTCTCATTTCTTTTATTTTTCTTTTGAAACTTTGCTACAGCTGCAACGACGGGGATTATAATGCTGTCTCTCTACCCAACCCTGCTCCACAATTGCCACCACTGTCCCATTCCATTCCACCCTCCAATGGTTGCAGCCAACCATCTTGACTGCAAGTCCCAGAAGATGGGCTCTCTCCTTAGAGACCTTTTCCACCTAGCCTGGGAGGGCAGAGCCTGGATTGACTCCAGCTGCAAAAGCTGAGGCTGCTGAACAGACTCTTGAATTTGGGGGTTTTGGGGGAGGGGTTGTTGCTGTTGGTGTTTTGTTTTTATATTTTAGATCTTGTGATTTATGTGGAAATTGTTCAGTTCAATTGCTCAATCCCAGCATTCCAAACTCCAAACTACGCCTATCACCATCTAGCATTTCCTAAAATTTACTCCTCTACTGTAATTACCATTATTATATTAATGTCATTGATACATGCGTATAAAACTTTAAATACAAACACCAAGACATTGCACTGAAACTTTCGGGAAATGCGCATGCATGCACTTTCCAAGAGTCTCATTCGAGAGCCAGTGGGGTGCAGTGCTTAAGAGTTTTGGACTAGGAACTGGGAGACCTGGGTTCAAATCTCCACTCAGTCACTGGGTGATGGCTTCACAGCCCAACCTACCTAACAGGGTTGTTGTCAGGATTAAACGATGAGGGGGAGAACGACTTAAGACCACACTGAGCTCCTTGAAGAAACAGGTGGTATATAAAGGCATCCAATAAATTTCACTAAGAAGAAAGGTAAGATTCTGCACTTAGGCCAAAAAAAAATCAGCTGCACAAATATAAGATGGGGGATACTGGGCTTGCCAGTAGTGCATGTGGAAAAGACCTGGGGTCTTAGTGGACCACAAGACTAACATAAGTCAACACCGGCGAAATAGGCTGTTATTCTAGGCAGCGTCCAAAGAAGTCAAGTATCCAGATCAAGAAAAGTAATAGCCCCACTTTCTTCTGCCTTGTTCAGACCACACCTGGAGTCCTGTGTCCAGTTCTGGGTGCCCCAATTTAAGAAGGATTTTGACAAGCTGGAAGGTGTGCAGAGGGGGGGTGAGCAAGACAATTAAGCGTTGGGGAACCAAGCCTTCTGAGGAACAGAAAGGGGTGTAAGGTGGAAGATTGAACAAGCTTGTTTTCACCGGCTCTGGAGGCTGGGACCCAAACCAATGGCTTCAAATTAGAGACGCCCTTGGAAGGTTGTGGACTCTCCTTCCTTGGAGGTTTGTAAGGAGATGTTTGAAGGCAATATGTCATGGATGCTTTAGTTGAGAGTCCTGCAGTGGACTAGACGACCCAGAAGTCTCCTGCAGGTCTAAAATTCTATTATTCTCCCCAGTGTGGATTCTTTGATGGGCCATGAGGTTAGTCCTCTTACTGAAGCTCTTCCCACATTCCAAGCACTGATATGGTTTCTCACCACTGTGAATTCTTTGGTGGGAAGTGAGATGTGCTTTCTGGCAGAAACTCTTTCCACATTTCACACATTGATAGGGTTTCTCACCACTGTGAATTCTTTGGTGAGCCATGAGCTTGGTCCTCTTACCAAAGCTCTTTCCACATTCCAAGCACTGATATGGTTTCTCCCCAGTGTGGATTCTTTGATGGGCCATAAGGTTAGTCCTCTTACTGAAGCTCTTCCCACATTCCAAGCACTGATAGGGTTTCTCCCCTGTGTGAATTCTTTGGTGGGAAGTGAGGTTGTCCTTCCGGGTGAAGCTCTTCCCACATTCCAAGCACTGATAGGGTTTCTCCCCAGTGTGGATTCTTTGATGGGCCATGAGGTTAGTCCTCTTACTGAAGCTCTTCCCACATTCCAAGCACTGATAGGGTTTCTCCCCAGTGTGAATTCTTTGGTGGGATGTGAGATGGGCTTTCTGGCAGAAACTCTTTCCACATTTCACACATTGATAGGGTTTCTCACCACTGTGAATTCTTTGGTGAGCCATGAGCTTGGTCCTCTTACCAAAGCTCTTTCCACATTCCAAGCACTGATAAGGTTTCTCCCCTGTGTGAATTCTTTGGTGGGAAGTGAGACTTTGCTTATGACTGAAGCTCTTCCCACATTCCTGTGACATTTGGTAGTTAGCCGTGACTCCCGCTAATTGATTTACGAACCTCGATTAGCGATATATGGCCGCCCGGCACACTTCCGCAGCGCCTCTCCGTCACGGCTCAGCAGAGTTTCCGCACAGCGGTGTAGAACTGTCACGTTGCTTGGTTCAGCTTCCAGACAAACACACAGAGTCCAGTTTGTCTATTTACAGCTTTTATTCCAACATTTCTCAGGAATTACCAGGACTATTTGCAGCCATGCCAGACCTGCGTCTTTTCCCCACGGAACACAGAGTGGGACTGACTAACTCCTCCCAAACTCCTCCCAACTTCGAAAACTGACGTCAGAATGGTGTGGCACCATGGGAAAAACTTAACCTGTTAAGTTCCAATCCCAACACCCCCCTTTGCCGCCCATTCTGACAAGACTCTTCTGAGTTCAACACCTTTCCCTTTGCCTTGTGCCCCTTTCCGGCATTTTTCCCAGGCACCTGTTGAACCCCTTCAGTAACACTTTGTGAGATCAATCCCACCCCCAATGCCTCGCGCCCTCCCTTGGCAGACCTGTTTGGCATTTGTGGAACCACCTCACAATCCTCAGAAACGCACTGTGCGAAATTTACCCACGCACCTGTGGCCTGATACCTCTCTGGCGGAATACCCTTTGTTGTGCGACTGGACCTCCTAGGCACAAACACAGATGTTTCCTCTGGCTCACCGTCACCAGCAGGTGTGACCTCTGCATCACGGGATTCCCCTTCTGACTTAAAGCGTTTTCGAATCCTTTCCATCACACTCACAGGAGAACTAGGCTCGCTTTTGGGTGCTCTCTTAACATCTTGTGGAGAAACTACAAATACCTCCTCCTGTTCCTGACTTTGCTCCTGACTTTGGTCAGTGAACTGATCATCATCATCGGATTCTGAACCCTGATCCTGGACCTGGTCCTCATCAGCAGGCTCAGCCTCTCCTTCCTCCTCATCACAACTGTCCTCTGGGTCAGAGAGACAATCTGAGAGAAGATCACGCTGGAAAACAATCTTTGGCTTCTCACTCTGCTCAAAGAACTCAGCGTGTTTACTGATCAGTAACTTACTCTGATCACCTGATGGAAATGCGAACCTCCATGCACGGGCTTCTGGCTCATACCCACAGAAGATCATTTTCCGGAACTTGGATCCATCTGGCCCCTGCAAAACCTCAGGCACAGAGACAAGCGCAGGGGTCCCAAACGTCCGCAGAAAGTGAACCTGGGGTTTTCGGCCATTTAACAAAGAAAACGGTGTGTCACCTACCAATGAGTTATAGACACGATTCCAGGTGAAGCTCACATACTTGATTGCCTCCAGCCAAAACCTTGGAGGTAACTCAGAATCTTTCAGCAACACCTGTGCAGCCTGAACTAGAGCTCCACTTCGCAGCTCTGCCACCCCACCTTGCTGGGGTGAAATAACTGTGTGTCGTATCCCTTTCTTGTGAAAGAACTCCTGCAAAGCAGAACCAGTGTACTTAGCATTTCTGTCACTGATGATAGCTTGAACCCTGGTGGAGAACCTCTGTTCCACCCCTTCAATCCAGCTCTTGATCAGCCGTGCTGCATCCTCCCTGGATTTAAGACCGTGAGCCCAGGAATTCTGCGAGAAATCATCCAGAAAAACGAGCAGAAACCTGGCCCCCCCTAGACTTGGTGCCTTGACAGGACCGGACAAATCTATGTGAACCAGCTCAAAAGGTTTTGTGGCTACACGTTCCACCTTTGGGTAACTGCATCCTTTTACCTTTGCTAGCCTGCAGGTTTCACAATTAATGGCACTTTGACAATTTTTAATCTTACAACCTGTAACAACCTCAGGTAACACCTGCAAATCCTCTAAAGGATTGTGAATCGTTCTCTGATGCCATACGCATGCACATGTAACATTATGAGCGGGAATTGTAGCACGCTGGTTGGGAACTGTAGCACGCAACGCTTGTGCTTTCTCAACCTTCCCCTCACCTCCAAGAGACGTTTTAAGAATGAAAAGATCATTCTGTCCCTTCCGCACTTTGGCCAGTAACCTCCCCCCTTTGGAGATCGTGCAGACATTGTTTTCAAAACAAACTTTGAACCCCTTACTTAACAAATAAGGCACAGATAACAAACAATGTTGAATCTCTGGAACAATACATAAATTCACCGTCTCCTGTAAAACAGAAAGATAGGCATTAGTACACGTGGAAACTCTAGTTTTCTGTCCATTTGCAAACTTAATAGTCTGTCCCTTCGGAACTGCCGTGCAATTCCACCTCTCGACTGCAGGGGTCTCTGGAACCATGTTGCGGTTAGCTGCAGAGTCTATTACAAAGGCCATCTCGGAATTTTCCACTCGGCCGTCTTCAAACACTGCCATACTCGCCGAGACTTGATAAGACTCTTCCCGTTGTTTACCACGGCCACCTGGCTCAGTTCCACGCCTGCCTGTCTTCCCAGGCCTGTTGCCATGGAAACCCACCTGATTCCCATGGGAAATGTCCTTCACAACATCCTGCCGCGGCTCTCTGCACCGGTGGGGGCAACTGCCACGCAGATGTTGAACTCTAGTGGAAAAACACTGCCCGGGGCTCCCAGCTGGCTTGGCCCTCCTCCTTCTGGAACGGCGCCTCCCACCAGCCTCGCCCCCCCTGAAGCTGCTCTTCGCTTCAGCACAAAGGGAAAGTCCTTTAAACTTGCCTTTGGAACTCTTCGCCCCCCCGATCTGCTCACTAGCGCTCCTAGAGGCCAATACATCGGGAACAGGGCCTGCCAGTCCAGCCTTTCCAGGACTCAGTCCATCACACAGACGTGTAGAAGCATTACAACAGCTTCCCAACACTGTCCCAGCCCCCATTGGGCTTTCTGGGCATCCTTCTGCCTCTCCAGGGCTTCCTCCAGGGCTCTGGCCTTTCGCTGACGCCTCACACAAGCCTTTCAGCAAATTCCAGGCAGCCCACGCTGTCGTTACGCCCTCCAACTGAGGCCCCAGTGACGCATCAACGCATGCTTTGAGCATATTCAGCTCTTGTTGCAGCCTCTGGCTATCTTCAGCCAACACAGCCCCACAGCTTGCTTCACCTGCTCCAGCTGCTGGCCGGCTAAGGGGTGTTTCTTTTGGCTCCCACTGGTTTGCTTCCCAGAGCCCTTCAACCAAGAACCATCCCCTTATTCTCCTGGACCACGTTGCCCAACTCTTTAGAGTGAGCTTCTCCACTGGTATATCCTGGCAGTCTGCCATCTTCTCCCATTCTCCCAAGGGGCCCCAAGCTGTACTCACAAGCTTCTCTGGCTCTCCCTTCCGTGGAGAAACGATTTTCCAGCTGCTCTCTTAGCTCCGCAGCTCTGTGTTCCAGCAGCTCTCTCAGCAGCTTCTTTGCCTCTTAGACGCAGGCAAACATCAGGCAAAAAGTCCTTCCGCCTCCTGCCGGCCCCCTGCTCGACACCGCAGACTTCAAAGCTCCCGGCAGTGACAGTTTTACAAGCAATGATTTATGGATCCATAACCTGTGACATTTGGTAGTTAGCCGTGACTCCCGCTAATTGATTTACGAACCTCGATTAGCGATATATGGCCGCCCGGCACACTTCCGCAGCGCCTCTCCGTCACGGCTCAGCAGAGTTTCCGCACAGCGGTGTAGAACTGTCACGTTGCTTGGTTCAGCTTCCAGACAAACACACAGAGTCCAGTTTGTCTATTTACAGCTTTTATTCCAACATTTCTCAGGAATTACCAGGACTATTTGCAGCCATGCCAGACCTGCGTCTTTTCCCCACGGAACACAGAGTGGGACTGACTAACTCCTCCCAAACTCCTCCCAACTTCGAAAACTGACGTCAGAATGGTGTGGCACCATGGGAAAAACTTAACCTGTTAAGTTCCAATCCAGGGTCCAGGGGTCACGAAGAGTCGGACACGACTAAACAACAACAACATCATCATGTACTTTAAAAATCAGACCTAGACCGTTTCAGTATATGCCTGGGGGCCTAAAACAGATGTGAATGGGCAGCGCAAATCAGAGCGCATTGTGTGTGTGCAACTTGCAAGAGGGCAGAGGGACAGAATCACTGCTTCACACCCCTCTCTGCTCTCCTCCTCCTCTCTTCGACTTCCCACATTTATGTGGAAATGCTACAGGTCCACCTCATAGGGATGTTGTAAAGACAGCAGAGTTGGTTTTTATGAAGCGCTTTGTACTCTCCGAGTGTCCTCTAGTTTATCTCCCCATGTTGAGCCCCCACAGCCTTTGCTCAGAGGGGCCCTGCCCACCCATCCCTGGGCCACCTTCCCGTTTCATTCAAGGTGCACGGCTAGGAGATGGATCTTCCGCCAAACTCCCCTTTATTCCTGTTGCCACCACAGAGGACTCTTCAACACTTCACCCCAAACATAACAAAGACGGAAGTGTGCATCGATTCATTAAACTGATTTATTTAAAAAATAGACATAAACATGTGGTTTCAAATGTTCTCATTTCTTTTATTTTTCTTTTGAAACTTTGCTACAGCTGCAACGACGGGGATTATAATGCTGTCTCTCTACCCAACCCTGCTCCACAATTGCCACCACTGTCCCATTCCATTCCACCCTCCAATGGTTGCAGCCAACCATCTTGACTGCAAGTCCCAGAAGATGGGCTCTCTCCTTAGAGACCTTTTCCACCTAGCCTGGGAGGGCAGAGCCTGGATTGACTCCAGCTGCAAAAGCTGAGGCTGCTGAACAGACTCTTGAATTTGGGGGTTTTGGGGGAGGGGTTGTTGCTGTTGGTGTTTTGTTTTTATATTTTAGATCTTGTGATTTATGTGGAAATTGTTCAGTTCAATTGCTCAATCCCAGCATTCCAAACTCCAAACTACGCCTATCACCATCTAGCATTTCCTAAAATTTACTCCTCTACTGTAATTACCATTATTATATTAATGTCATTGATACATGCGTATAAAACTTTAAATACAAACACCAAGACATTGCACTGTGAATTCTTTGGTGGGAAGTGAGACTTTGCTTATGACTGAAGCTCTTCCCACATTCCAAGCAGTGATATGGTTTCTCCCCTGTGTGAATTCTTTCATGGCAAGTTAGATTGGCCCTTTGGCTGAAACTCTTTCCACAATCCAAGCATTGATAGGGTTTCTCACCACTGTGAATTCTTTGGTGAGCCATGAGCTTGGTCCTCTTACCAAAGCCCTTTCCACATTCCAAGCACTGATAAGGTTTCTCACCACTGTGAATTCTTTGATGGGAAGGGAGACTTTGCTTATGACTGAAGCTCTTCCCACATTCCAAGCACTTATAGGGTTTCTCCCCTGTGTGAATTCTTTGGTGGGAAGTGAGGTTGACTTTCTGGCGGAAACTCTTCCCACATTCCAAGCACTGATATGGTTTCTCTCCTGTGTGAATTCTTTGGTGGGAAGTGAGATCGGCTCTCTGGCAGAAACTCTTTCCACAATCTAAGCATCGATAGGGTTTCTCCCCAGTATGAATGCTTTGGTGGGAAGTGAGACTTTTCTTCAGACTGAAACTCTTGCCACATTCCAAGCACTGATAGGGTTTTTCACCTGTGTGAATTCTTTGGTGATGAGTGAGATTGACTTTCTGGCAGAAACTCTTTCCACATTCCGAGCACTGGTAGGGTTTCTCACCACTGTGAATTCTTTGGTGATGAGTGAGACTTTTCTTCAGACTGAAGCTCTTGCCACATTCCAAGCACTGATAGGGTTTTTCACCTGTGTGAATTCTTTGGTGAGAAGTGAGATTGGCTCTCTGGCAGAAACTCTTTCCACATTCCGAGCACTGATATGGTTTCTCACCACTGTGAATTCTTTGGTGGGAAGTGAGACTTTGCTTCTGGGTGAAGCTCTTTCCACAATTCACACATTGATAGGGTTTCTCCCCAATATGAATTTTTTGGTGGGAAGTAAGACCAGCGCTCACAGTGAAGCTCTTCCCACATTCCAAGCACTGATATGGTTTCTCCCCTGTGTGAATTCTTTGGTGAGAAGTGAGATCGGCTCTCTGTAGGAAACTCTTTCCACAATCCAAGCATCGATAGGGTTTCTCCCTGGTATGAATGCTTTGATGGGTAGTGAGATGGGCCCTGAGACTGAAGTTCTTTCCACATTCCAAGCACTGATAGGGTTTTTCCCCTGTGTGAATTCTTTGGTGGGAACTGAGATTGGCTCTCTGGGAGAATCTCTTCCCACATTCCATGCATTGATAAGGTTTTTCACCACTGTGAATTCTTTGATGGGAAGTGAGACTTGCCTTTTGGGTGAAGCCCTTTCCACAATTCACACATTTATATGGTTTCTCCCCAGTATGAATTCTTTGGTGGGAAGTGAGATGGGAGCTCACAGTGAAACTCTTCCCACATTCCAAGCACCGATAGGGTTTCTCACCACTGTGAATCCTTTGATGGACCGTGAGAGTCGTCCTGTGATTGAAGCTCCGCCCACATTCTGAGCACTGATAGGGTTTCTCACCTGTATGAATTATTTGATGGGCTGTGAGATGGGTTCTCTGACTGAAGCTCTTTCCACACTCTTGGCATTCAAATGGCTTCTCCCCCCTGTGAATTCTCTGATGTTTACAGAAGGTTTTGCTTGTATTACAGCTTTTCCTACATTCTAAGCACTGATAGGGTTTCTCGCCTGTATGAATTATTTGATGCGAAACGAGATGTGCACTCTTACTGAAGCTCTTTCCACATTCCAAGCATTTCAGTGGGTCCTCCCCTGTGGGAATTATTTCCTGTGAAGTTAGACTTTCATTCCAACATAATTTTTTCCCCATTCAGAGAACTGAGAGGGTTTCTTCCCAATAGCATTTCTTTGGTGTGTAGTCGAATGGGAACTGTGACTGAAGCTCTCTCCACACTCCAAGAGTGGCAATGGCTTCTCCTCTGTGTGGATTCTGTCATGGGCGTCCTCGTTCTCAATTTCCAAATCATCACCACCTGCAATGAAGAAATGGATTAGAGCTGCAGGAAGAAATGGAGTGCCACTGTATTGAATATTGATCACTAACCCTTGTGATAGAGAAAGAATTCCATACATCAACATTGGTGACCACACACTAGAGGTGTTAGAAACAGAGATAGGACAGCTAGAACATAAAGAGAACCTCAAACCTAGGTTATGGGCTCAAAAATGGAATGTCTAGGTGCACTCTCTTATGACAAAAATACAAAGCTGAAAAGGAATGAAGAGCAGCTAAAATAATATGTTCATTTTTCACATGGTCTAGACCTTCCCCTGCCCACCCCCCTGATTTTTTAAGAAGGTCTTGTCACGGGACAGACAGGCAAGGCGAGAACAGAGAGAGAAGTTTTGAGGAAAGGGAGGGATTGCTCTATTACAAGGGGGTGCTGTATGTACCGAGGGAAGAACTGCGGGCCAAAATTCTTAGACAGCATCACGGCAGCCCGACTGCAGGGCATTTTGGTCAGAACAAGACTATGTACTTAGTTACCAAGGAATTCTGGTTGCCCAAAATAGAGGAGGAGGTAGAGGAGTACGTTAAAGGCTGCAAAGTCTACCAGAGGGCAAAAGGGGAAAGGACAGCACCTGCCGGGTTGTTGCAACCCTTACCCACCCCTAACAAACCATGGGAAGTGATAGCCATGGATTTTATTACTGAAGTACCAGCATCACACACACAAAAACCTGGTCATTTTGGTAGTAGTAGATGTGCTAAGCAAAACGGCTCTTTTTGTACCTTGCACTAAAATACAGTGGTACCTCGGGTTAAAAATTTAATTCGTTCTGGAGGTCTGTTCTTAGCCTGAAACTGTTCTTAACCGGAAGCACCACATTAGCTAATGGGGCTTCCTGCTGCCACCACACATTTTCTGTTCTCATCCTGAAATAAAGTTCTTAACCTGAGGTAATATTTCTGGGTTAGTGGAGTCTGTAACCTGAAGCGTATGTAACCTGAAGCGTATGTAACCTGAAGCGTATGTAACCGGAGGTACCACTTTACCTTCCGCTCAAGAAACAGCAAGGTTGTTTGTAGACATTGTTTTCAGGTCGCACGGCATGCCTTCAAGGCTGGTCACAGATAGTGGAAGTCAGTTTACTTAGTATTTTTAGAGGGTGTTGATGGAGTTGTTACAGGTAGAAATAAGTTTCACCTCAGCTAGACATCCTCAGACAAATGGACAGGCAGAGAAGGCAAACACTACCTTGCAACAACACGTGACATGCTATGTGAACTACCAGCAAGGGTAGAGAAATTGAGCCTGGCAGAGTTCACATACAATAATGCAATGCACGCACCCACAGGTATATCACCACTTGTAGGTTTCAGATCCTTAGAAGACAACAAAAGCGAGACAGATGGGGGGGGCTTAGTGGGGGGTGATGTCCCGGGACAGACAGGGAACGCCCCTAGGTCAAGGGAAGGGGGAGTATCAGAGCAGGGACAGTCAGACGGGGAAAACAGGGAAATGATGGACGAAGTAGGGGAGGAGAAGGCGGACAGCAGTCAAGTGGTGTCAGGGCTCTGCGATGCTGGAGAGCCCTGCCACCAACCAGGGAGTTCAGGAACAGAAGGGGAAGCGGTGCCTTCGGCACAGGTGAGGAGAAAGTTAAAACCCAGGGATCAAAAACATCTCGTGAGATTCCCACGTCTGCTGTGTTGGAGAAGGAGCCGAAGGAAGCTACTCCCCGAATCTGACTCGTCGGATTCCGATGCATAATTTTGAACTGTAGCTCTTTGTACATATGTAAATAAAGAACTGTAAATATCTCTCTGAGTGAGCAGAGGGTGTTTACTGCAAAGAGCAGACACCACCTTGACAGGTCTCTCCTTTGGCCTGCAGAGAGTAGCTGGAAGTGGGGAGGCAGAAAAAGGTCCTCCTTTCCTTTCACTCTGCAGTTTTAATCTGAAATCTTAGGTGCAGTACTGCACACAGAGCTCAGAAACTGCTCGTGTCTATGAAATTCCCTGTCGCAAAATGCGCCTATGGGAGTTTCAGACACTGGAGGTGGTGGATGATTTTGTCTCCCTAGGAGGTTCTACCATAACCAACAACCTCTTCATCGATGCTGACCTGGACAAGTGTATTGGCAAGGCAAATGTGTTGCTAACTCTTCAATGCCAAGAGGAAGGTCTATCAGGATTGTGCATTGAGCAAGCAGTTTGTGAAGCGAATTGTGGACAATTACAACCATTAGGGGGGAAAACCCTCAAAGTCTTCCATATGCTCCATATCAGGAAGATTTTGGGCAATAGAAGGCAGGACAATGTCAACAAAGATGTGTTCTCCTGACCTCAGATTCCCAGCATGTTCCCATTTCATTCTCAGCAAGGTCTATGCTGGCTTCATCATGTCCACGGTCAAAAGAGTCAATAACCCTCCATTTAATGTGAGTTTGGGGGATATTAGAATCCCAGGTGCTGCAAGTGGCCCTGTAGAGCTCCCTCAAAATCAGGGAGGCTTATCACAGAGAGATATGTGTGGAATTTCCAAAGAGAGGTTATGATCCACAAGGGAGCCTTACTGAGAGAGGCCACGATCCCACAATTCTCCTCCATGACTTCCTTATGCAGAGCTCTCTGGTCTAGATCCAGCAACGCCCACTCCTCATCTGTGAAATGAACAGCGACGTCTTCAAAGCACACTGGACCCTAAGAGAGAAAGGGAAAGATCCTCTTTAGACAGCACTAAGGTGGTCTGCTACACATTGCTGTTTCTTTCTGCGCATTAAAAGGGGGGAGGAGAAGGTGGGGAAACCTCATTGTGCAACTGATGCGACAAGATAGGTGATTCCTGGGAACTATTTTTGAGGCTTGATGAACTGCTTAGAAGCCTATCATAGCATTCAATGATAACTCTAGAAATAAAACGACAATGACTTATGAATGATCTTATTGACCTTCAGAAGGTGAGTTAAGGCAAGGTGGCTGTTCCTTATTCTCAGCACATTAAGCTTCTCGAATGGCATTCCCAGCCTCCTGGCTTCTGTCTAGGCTGCCCTTGACAAAGATGCCTTCAGAGAAGCTTGGGCAGAAGCCAAGAGGAGGAGAGAGATTATTTGGGGGCCAGAGGCACCCTGGCTGCCCCACCCCTCAGCCCCCTTCCCCACAGGGCTCCCTCCCTCTACCTGAGCTGCTTCCACAGCCGTTGCTTCTCCTTCACCACCAGGAATAGATGGAAGAGGAGGTCTTGCTGGCATCATCTGGTCACCTGCAAGAGACAGAAGTAAGTGGGAAGCCAGGAGTGCAGCTGCTCTCCAAAAAGTCTCACCTTCTGAGTGCATCTGGACATTTGGACCCATTTCATAATTTAGTTGGGTTAAAAAATACATCTCCCTCCTTGGTGCTCTTGGCCCCAAGTGTCTACCCCCCCCCCAAAAAAAAGAGAGGAAAAGAACCCATGGATTCGTTTTGATATCCACAGAAAGGGACCAAACGGAGAACAGACTCCTTCCTTACCCAGCAGCCTCTCTCTGGTGTCCAACGGAGTCCTTTTGGTCTCAGAGGAATCTGGGCCCATTTCTGCAATCAGATCCTGCCTCTGAAATAGCAACAAAGATTCAAAACAGAGAATATGAAGAAGAGTTAGAAAAGGAATGACAGAGGCAAAAACTGAAGGGCAATCTGATAGCTGCTTTCCAAAAAAGGATGGAGAATTTTCAGATACCCTCACTCACGTTCGGAGCCCCTTGGGAGTATCCAGAGGAAAGTCTCTCTCACCTGCTGTTCTGCTTGCTTCCTCTCCTCTGCCTGACTCAGGAGGAAACCTTCGGCCAGGGCCACTGCCTGGGAACTGGTCTCCACTCCACATTCCCTCACCCAACTCTCCATCTCCAGAGGAAGGACAGCCAGGAACTGCTCCAAGATCACCAGGTCCAGCATCTCAGCTTTCGTGTGCCTTTCTGGCTTCAGCCACTGATGGTCAAGGCAGTAGAGTCGGCTGCAAACCTTCCGGGGTCCTTTGGCCTCCTGATAGCAGAACTGCCTCAATTGCTTGCTCTGCACCTCTGAGTGGAGAGTGTCCTCCTCTCCCGGGATCTTCTGCACAGTTTCCCCCCAGAATCTCCCACTGCTCCCCGTTTCCATGGCCTGGCCTCTTCCTGCTTCAGGGCCAGCTGAGTCTTGCTCATCCATCTGTGCTCTCAGGAAGCCTCCAAGAGAGATGAAGGAATCCCTTGATCTTCTGCCAAGTTCTGTCTGTCCAAATCAGAGGTGCTAGGGAATTCTACAAACCGAATACATTGTTCTGTTACAAAACTGACATATTGCCTGGAGGAGAAAAATGTTCCGTGAGTCGTGTATGAGTCGTGGAAGAGCCAGCTCTGGACCGCACCACAACCCAGACTCTGAGGTTTCTATAAAAAGGAGAAGGTGAAGTAAGTCTCCAGCCCTCCTGGAGGGAAAGTGACCATGCAAAATGTGCAGGGAACTGTTGGTCTTTGCTCCTGCCTTTCAGAGTTTTCAATCAAGGAATGAAGTCAGAACTGTGATTGACAAGTGAGTCATTTGTACTGAGTGTTATCTGAGCATTGGGTTATAGTGGGAGTCCTAACCCAGGACTCCTCAAGAGTTGCTCTCCTGCCCAACCCCACTTCAGAGCCCATTTCTTTCCTTATCTGGCTAACTTCTGAGGGCCAAATGATATGTGGGTGGGGTCAAAGGTCAGCACTCAAAAGCAAATAAAGTGGAACTCGCCTTTCTATGAGTGTAATGCGTTTTCAACTGTTCTTATTGCTTTTTAAAGAAAATTGTAATCTGCTCTTGGAAATTCAGGTGACAGGCAGGGAACAAGCAGTAACGATGATGATGTTACATTGCTTAACGCTCCCCCTCCCCCGTCATGAATACTTGAGGGCACTCCTGGGTCCATCATGGTCACTTGAGGCCCATGTCCAGCTCAGACTAGTTCCCCACCCCACAGACCTTTCGGGACAGAGAGGACATGGCCCTGGTCTTCCCTGCTCTGCGCCAGGTGGGATGGTGGCAACGCTCTCTGTGTGGAACTGCCCTTGAAGGCGACTCAGCTACACATTCACAGCAACATCACAAAGCAATACTACTCAGCTCCTGAGGCCCACAGAGAGACTGGCTACTTTTCTAGGGAGAGTTAAAGGTAGGTAGCCGTGTTGGTCTGCCATAGTCAAAATAAAAAAATTCCTTCCAGTAGCACCTTAAAGACCAACTAAGTTAGTTCTTGGTATGAGCTTTCGTGTGCATGCGCACTTCTTCAGATACACTGAAACAGAAGTTGCCAGATCCTTCTATATAGTGAGAAGGTGGGGAGGGGTATTACTCAGAAGGGTGGTGGGAATGGGTGATTGGCAGATAGCTGAGATGAGCCTGTTGACGACTCTTAACGACTGCAATAGGTCTTACAGGAAAAGGCAAGGGGGAAATGAGTCATCACTCGAGATGAATCCTGAGTTACAGTGACTCAGCAATTAGCTGTTAACCGTTAACAGCCAGCAGGCTTGAAAGATGTAGGCCTTGCTGCTCCTGCTCTCAAGAACCTTTGTCTCATGACAGCCTCCTATGGGGGAGACAGGGCAGAGGAGCCCCCCATCACCCTCTCCTCCTTCTCCACAGATCGGTCTCCTCCTCTCTGAACGTCGCCTTGATTGTGCTAACGGAGAAATCTGAGGGCTCCCTTGGACAAGAAACAAGGACACCAGCCAGGAATACCAGAGCAAAAGAGCAGCCAGGAGGCTTGGTCTTGATTGAAGTCTGTCACCACAGGACTCCCACCTGCCACCAGGTGAAACAAGATGGAAGCCCCACACAAAAGAGAACCCAAACTTTTATTAGCGGATGGCGCTAATAAACCACAGAGCCTAGGGCTTGCCGATTGGAAGGTTGGCGGTTCGAATCCCTGTGATGGGGTGAGCTCCCGTTGCTCGGTCCCAGCTCCTGCCAACCCAGCAGTTCAAAAGCATGTCAAGTGCAAATAGATAAATAGGTACTGCTGTGGTGAGAAGGTAAATAGTGTTTCCGTGTGCTGCTCTGGTTCTCCAGAAGTGGCTTAGTCATGCTGGCCACATGACCTGGAAACTGTCTGCAGACAAATGTTGGCTGCCAATAAAGCGAGATGAGCGCTGCAACCCCAAAGTCGTCCGCAACTGGACCTAACAGTCAGGGGTCCCTTTACCCTTTACCTTTAATCCCCATGTTATGCCCCCCCCCAACTACATCACTCATACATCACGGTTACATCATGAAAGGGGAGGTCTGGTGGCAGGAATCTGAGCATCCTGGACCCTGCCCCATGCTTCCCCCTGCCCTCCACCAAACACCCATCAAGTGGAACAAAACAGATACTTACTTTTCCCAGCCAAGTGAATCACACCCTTTTGTCTTCATCTGAGTTTGGTATTTCTACAATGGCTACCTGTCTGGTATTCAGGTATCAGGATGCCAGGGATTATCACTCAGGCAGAGGGGCTGCTGAGGAGCTGAGCTCACATGTCTATGTGGATTTCTGAAGTTTTCCCAGTGAGTCAGTACAAGAGACATTTTTCAGTGAATTCTTACATTTGGTATCATGCAGCAGAGGCCCTTTGAATAGAGAGGAAGAAACTGTGATGAAGTGTTTTGTGGGGACAAATCACACAAGTCACAAAAGTGATTATGCTGATTTTGGTAGTGGGCTGCATGTGCATGAGATCTGCTGGAGGGGCAACCCCCCCAACCTATACATCAATTCCTGCAACCACTGGTGGCCTCCCTGCCTCTTGTGGGAGGGAGTTCCACAGGTTTTACTCTGCCCTGCAAGAGGAAGCGCTTTCTCTTCCCTGCCCTCCGTCTTCCTTCCTTGCACAGGTGAGGTTTTAGGTACCGAATGTCTGAACGTTTCCATCCACCTACAACCTCAGTTATACAAGGGGACTGATCCATACATCTGAATGGGGTTTATTTGCATGCATTTCCCCACTCCTGGACCCCAGACCCCTCCCCAAGGGGCCAGCAGCGCATCCATGCAAAGGAAGAGCAGAGCTGCCGCCCTCCTGCGACCCTCCGCGCCCTGACTTGCCCCCCTCTCGCCATGCAGCGCTGGGACCCCCGCTCTCCCCATGGGCCCTATCCTGGGAGAGAGGAGACTCACCGGATCCCAGCAGGCGCCCCCAGGCAGCCTCTGCAGAGCCGAACCAAGGGGACCCCCACACGCCCGACTTCTTGCAGGAAAGGGAGGGGTTGGGCTTTCGCTCTGGAGGACCCTGCCCCCCCCCGTCTTACTTTCCTGTCTAGGAATCCAGCTCGTTTCCGTTTAACCCTTGGCAAGCCGAGCGCACCCAACTCACGCCTCTCCCTCTCCCGAGAGCCGGAGCATCGCGCACCAATGGCATCCCGAGAAGGCGGAGCAGGAGAGGCTTATGGATTACTTCCGGCAAGGGATACATTCAGTTTTGGCCCCCTAACAGCTGGCCCCTGAACACGGGTCCTAAGAAATCTTCACTGGCTCCCGGTCCATTTCCGAGCACCATTCAAAGTGCTGGCGCTGACTTTGAAAGCCCCAAATGGTCTCAGCCCAGTAGAAGGGAAGGAGCGTCTCCACGTCCATCGCTCAACCCGGACA